CACATGTTATTACAATGTTTATGTTACGAGAAATCTACTCAGACATCAAAATGTGCTTTTTATAGTAAAACTTATGAGAACATAGCTTACATACTGTTATCTGCTATCCAACGTTTCTTGATGAGAATGATAAGTGGCTGTCCTACTGGCATGCATGAGAGCTCAGTTATTGATTGGACATCTTATTTTCATGACTCTTACTATTGAAGTAGCTTCCTCAAAACACCAAGCCTAGTTAGAAATGCCAACTAGAAGTGAGGAGGGGACTGTTTTATACAGACAAGCAGATACTAGAAAGAGGTAACAAGTGGAAGCCTGACAGAAAGTAAAGAAGAAAATTAAATCATAGACAGATCCATACATTTTAAAAAACAAAGCAATCCGAGTTGCTTAGAATTTTTACAATGGCCGCAGAGGCTTCAATTCATTGTGTCAGCACACTGTCATAATCAAGATCGATGGCCAGTATCGAAAAGTTTCACATCTATAAGGTGATTAGCACACGTGGAATACATTGTAAAAACATTTCTTGAAAATTTCTTCCTTGGAGGACAGTGACTTTATCTGTGCTCTTCATCACCATATTCCAGGCTCCAATGAGTGACTGACACATGGTATGTGCTCAAGTAATATTTTTAAGTAGTTGAGTGAATTATCCTCTAAAGGATTATTATTATTCTTTAAAAGTCTTGGTACTTAATTCAAGGGTGTTAAGTTTGCTTTATCCAGAAGACTTAACTAGCAGGAAGATTCAAGATAAGCAAATTTCTCCTGTACTTTTTCCAAGAAAAATGAGATCGAGATCTTATTTCATTTAGCCCATCTCATCAAAGACCTACAGCAAAGATACAGTCATGGGTGTTTTCTAGGTAGCACCAACCACAGCATCCTATGCCTGTAGAATACCTCTAGTGGAAGCTCCTCAATGAAACTAATAGCTCTTGCGTTCTTTCCAGAAATCTTATGTCCAAATCCTCCAGATATTCGTAACGGAAGACACACAGGAAAACCTCTGGAAATCTTTTCTTTTGGAAAAGAAGTAACTTACACATGTGATCCCCAACCAGACAGAGGGACGACCTTCAGTCTCATTGGGGAGAGCACCATCCGCTGCACCAGTGACAGTGAAGGGAACGGGATCTGGAGCGGCCCTGCCCCTCGCTGTGGACATCCAGGTCAGTACCTACTATGCCCCATCCCAAATGGCTCCAGAAATATCTAAAACAGATCTTCTAAAATCTTCCAATTACAGCATCATGCTAATTTGTGCACTTGACACAATTAAATGCAAAATCGGTTATAAATGATTTTAAGATGTGTTAACACATAGGAGTCTGATGACGTTTGTTGCTAGAGAGTTGGTGAAAAGAGAAGATGGTGGGCGGTAGTTCTAATTATAACTAGCATTGGAAGAAAAATGTTTTCAAAGCATAAAAATTGAAAGCAAATACCTATGGACCTTAACTAGCATAAGTTATGCCATCTATAGTTTTTGGAGGGGAGCACAGGTCAGTAGAGAATAAGGCCAGGCAAAATCACTTTTTATTACCCATTTGGCCCAAGACCCCTGTGCATTCTCTGTGAAAATGGAGCTGCATTGTAGACAAACTACATAGATTGCTGTAGCCAATTTGGGCTAAGCTCTACATTAAAATAAGATTTATTTGCTCCTTTGCCCCCAGTTATTTTAGTTGTTGAAATCTTCTCAGTTTGGTGCAAAGAAAACGCAAAGGAAAATGCAAAAAATAGAGTGTTTATTTCTGGATAAGGTTTCCTAAGATACCCAACCCCCCTGAGACATCAACCGTGATCAAGTGAATACAGGAAGGAAAAAATAAATTGTAGGAGGGACATGATATACTGACCACTGGGAAACTCTGAGAGAAAAGAACAATTCTAAAAGGAAAAGGACCATGTGCTAGTCACTCAGAAGTCATTTTAGCCCTACTCTCCTCCTCCCTCACCATAGCTTCAATTTGGGAGGCACTTATAAGCTTGTTTACCAGGGTAGAGCCCTGGTCCATATTTACTGAATCGATAGTGAGAGACAATCTTCTCTTAAGTTTTATGATTTTTTTTCATTAGAAACCTATCTAAGATGGCAATTCTAGTTTTATCAGCTAGATTTTTTAGACTGGAGACCTGCCAGGCTACCTTTGTGTGTGATTTGGCCGTAGTGGTAAATTTCAGTCCCGATGGGCACTCTTTGAAATAATTAGCTAGTAGACCTAATATTTAAGCTCTAAGATAAAACAAAACAGGTAATATAGATGAATAAATTTCCTATAAAAAAAACTTTCAAATAAGCCACATTTTTAAATTGAGAAAAATCAGTGAATTACTTTTAAGAGATGAGAAGTTGGTTTGCAAATCCTCCAACAGAAAATGCTCTGGGTACAGAACTGGCTGTCATATAGCCAAAACATTTTGAATAAATAACCTGAAAGGAGGTGGAGGGCAGCTGAAAGAGAAGCTAAAATAGAAGGTATTGCCCAAACCAAGTGCATATGTTTTCTATTTTTCCAAGCTTTGTACTGTTTTGGATTCACATTATTTGACCCTAAATCTAATAGGCCATAGGAGCATGGAGCTAAAGCTAGAATTTGATTTAATTTACACTTCAAACAAATGTTTTCTTACAATAATAAGTGTAGTTTTGTTTGTTTTATTTTAAGGAAATGCTACTTATTTCCTGCTTGTGTTGAAATGGTTTACTTAGGAATCAGACCTACAAAATAGTTGGCGTGGCCCCTTCCTAGTTTCAAGAAATACCTTGAGTTCTCCATTAATGTTTGTGAAACCTCCATTGGGGTTTTGATTCACTGATGTACAAGGAAATTACCTATTTGGCCCAAGACCCCATGCATTCAGAAAGAAATGGTAAAGCCTGAGCAGAAGAACCTTTTTTGGCTCCCTAAAAATGTGAAAAGTTGAATTGAAATTGTCTTTGATGGCAAATTATATGAGCAAAATAACCAGATAGCAGAATACTTTCCCAGATAGATAGTATATTTTCTAATAGGCAGGTGCTAATGGAACTTTCCCTCCCGAGGTTACAAGGAAATTATCTTTCCAGAACTAAAACTTTCTTTTGTTCTGGCATCAAATCTAAGATAGAGATAGAGATAGAGATAGAGAGAGAGAGAGAGAGAGAGAGAGATAGGAAGGGCATTGGGTATCTCTATGTTAAAACTTGATGTTCTTAATATCTTGGTTTTTAGGTTACTGTAATGCTCCAGATCATTTTCAATTTGCTGAGTTGAAAACCCAAACCAATGAATCTGCATTTCCTATTGGGACATCTTTAAAGTATGAATGCCGCCCTGAGTACTACAGGAGGACATTCTCTATCAGGTGTCTAGCCAACTTGGAGTGGTCAGCTGCCCAGGATGTCTGTAAACGTGAGTAAAACCTGTATTGGAGCTTCCCATATCTATCGAATTATCCATAGGATCTTCTTCAACTTTTTCAAATTTTAGAGATAAAACTTTACTTCTCAAAAGTGTCCAGGTAGGTGGATATAAGAGTTGTTGTTGTAGGTCATCCCTAATTATTAGTTGAAATGTTTATTTGATGAAACTGGTTTTGTTTTTTTTTTTGTTTTTTTCAAATATATTTTATTGATTTTTTACAGAGGGGAAGGAAGAGGGATAGAGAGTTAGAAACATCGATGAGAGAGAAACATCGATCAGCTGCCTCCTGCACACCCCCTACTGGGGATGTGCCCGCAACCAAGGTACATGCCCTTGACCGGAATTGAACCCGGAACCCTTCAGTCCACAGGCCAACGCTCTATCCACTGAGCAAAACCAGTCAGGGCTCATGAAACTGTTTTAATAAATATTTGCAGGGGGGGAAAAACCTATTCCTTATGGGAAAGTAAGTAATGAAAAACTTCAGACCAGGAAAAAAATTGTGAGGAGACATACACTGTTTTAATAACCAGGTAGGAAGAAAGAATTATATTGGTAGGATACAAGGCTATAATTAACCTCTATATTTTGTTGAGCAATTTGAGGTAGATATAAGACAGATGTAGGTGGGAGGTCTTTTTTAAAGTGGTGCTTAGAACGTGGCTGAACTTGAGACATCTGGTGAGGTGAAAATCTGTGGAACCATCAGAATTTCATGTACTCTTTAGTAAGTTACAGTCACATTGAGACCTTCTGTACTACAAAAGTTCAGATTCCTCTACCTGGCTCCAAAATTCTGTTTCTTTCCCACAGGTAAAGTATGTAAAACTCCTGCAGATCCTATGCATGGCATGCTGCACATAGACACAGACAGCAACCTTGGATCCAGAATTAATTATTCTTGTAATACAGGGTGAGTTGACAAAAACATCTCTTGATTCAAGATTTGCAGAATAGCAATCCTACCTTCTCGTCACTATTGGAAAGGAGAACTAGAGAATGACCATCTGCTTTTTAAAAATATGTATTTTTATTGATTTCAGAGAGGAAGGGAGAGGGAAAGAGAAAGAGAAACATCAGTGATGAGAGAGTCATTGATTGGCTGCCTCCTGAATGCTTCACACTGGAGATTGAGCCTGCAACCTGGGAATCGACTTGGGACCTCCCGGCTCATAGGTGGATGCTCAACCACTGAGCTACACTGGCCAGGCGACCATCTGCTCTTTAGAAGTCCGAATATAGGTGTTCAATTCCTGATTGAAATGAACAAAGTGTTGATGAGATTCAGAGGGAAATCAGCAATCTTCGTGGAAACCACAGTAGTGCATATAAGAAAAGGGAGGTTCTCTCCAGGTAGAAAGGAAAAAAATGAAGGGAGGGCATAGTCAAACCATATAAATAGCCCTAACGCAGCTGGAACAAAAGGAAGGCCACTGAGCAGCTGTGTGCGAAAATAAATCTTAAAGGTAATTGCACCATTCGTTTGCCAGGGCTGCCATAAGAAAGTACGACAAACTGGGTGGCTTAGAACCGCAGAGACTTATTCTCAGACAGTTCTGGAGGCTGGAAGTCCAAAATTAAGGTGTTGGCAGGACAGGCTCCCTCCAAAGCCTTGCCTCTGCCCACTTCTGGGAGCCTCAGGTCTTCCTTGACAGTGGCAGCATCACTCCCATTTCTGCGTCTGTTTTCCCACGGCTATCTTCCCTCTGTATCTGTGTCTCTACATAGCATGTCTCCTCTCTGTGTGGATCTATGTTCAAAGTTCTCTCTTTTTTATAAGGATGTCAATCATATTGGATTAGGGCTGCCCTATTGACCTCATCTTGACTCGATTACATCTGCAAAGACCCTATTTCCAAATAAGGTCACATTCATGGGGACTTCAACATACCTTTTTGAGGAACACTGTTCAACCCTATAGCAGAGCCCCCTGTGAAAATGTCAGTCATAAAGTGTTTACTGGTCAGTGGTCCTGTCCTTGGTGCTTACCCTTGCTCAGCATACAGTGGACCCTTGATCACGTTCTCTGTGTGAGCAGTGGAGCCCATCAGGGAATCTGGGCTACACTCGAGTCAGGATAAGCACTGAAAAATCACTTGTGGTCGTTGACATATGTATTTGCCATGCTAGGCCTCACAGACCACAGTACCTGTAATCTGACAAAGTAAAATTAGAATAAATCTAAACACTTCTCTCCTTCTGTGAGCTTTTGAAAGTACAATCAATAAATTTTCTGACTGTACCTTCTTCATGTTGCTTTACTAAATAGAAGTGGACTGTCTATGGTATGAACCAGCAAACCACTGAGCTTATGATAAGTCTCAGGAAATAGTGTAAAAGAGACCAATCTGAAAAATCAGAAAGAATTTCCCCTTACAGTTACTTCTAAGAGTCAGGGAAAACTTTTAGAAAATAGCCTGATTAAATTTTTAACAAGATTCAGTTGCACACTGCTTTTGTAAAACTAGTTGGAAATTGGTAATGTTTGCACATGAATGAAAAGCAAAATTGTCAAACTAAAAGAAAATATATGTGATAAACACACTGAATTATGTAGAAAATTAAAGCAGAAAGTAAGAAAAAATTAATCCAATTCTTCCAGAATTTAGTGGAAAAGAATAAAGAAAAATACAAAAGAGAAGCTATGTTTAAAACAGACAGAATGAGAATTAAAAATACAGGGAACAAAAATTCCCAAAGGGAGAATAATAAGCCATACCTTAGCCATCACTAGGGAAAGGTCTGTATTTCAGGAATAGAGATTTGACTTTGGGTGGCAAACACACAATGCAATATACAGATGATGCATTATAGAATTGTACACTTGAAACCGATAAAATTTTATTAACCAATATCACCCCAATAAATTTATTTTAAAAATAAAAATAACATGTCTTTAAAACTTTAAGAATTTAGAAAGGAAATTAAAAACTATAAACCTGAAAAAGAAATGGATGCATATTGGATAACAGTGATCCTTCACATCACTAAATTGCAGAAGATGGTGTCCTAATGAGCCAAGATAGTATTCATATCTAGAGGCTCTAAATATATATTGAAGGAAAATAATTACACTATTTAAGTATATACTCTGGGAAGAAAAAAAAACATAAATCCAGGCAATCCAGAAATAATTTTTTTAAAGGGAAAATGGCACAGTACAAAAGTACTCTCAGTGAGGTAGAAAATTTGTAAAAACAAATTTTAAAAAATCATGGTGAAAAATTTTCAACAGTTATGAAACCAAATACAATGACAGAACTAAGTATTCCAAAGTAAAACTTTGCAATGTAATAATAATTTAATAACAACCTCCAAAGTCATAAAATGTATCTATAAAACCAGAAAATGGAAGAAAGTAAGACAAGATACACTAGACTTATATTACACAGGGAATGGGTAAACTATCTATATTTTGACATTAAAATTGAGAAAATAGGTTTAAATATATGTGCTGTGTAAATACACTATATATGCACATGAAATGAAATTTCTAATGGAATAAAATTGGATACTAGTTAACTTCCCAATTAATAGAACACCTAAACGAGGTTCACCTATCTGGTTCATCCTATCTAATAATAGACAAACAGGGTAATTGACCATACCTTCGCTACGCTTCCCATTGGCTAATCAGCGAGATATGCAAATTAACTGCCAACAAAGATGGTGGTTAATTTGCATATGCAGGCGGCAAGCCGTGGAGCAAAGACTGAAGGCAGCTCCGGCCGGAGCAGGGAAGGCTTTGAAGGTAGCTCCGGCTGGAGCAGTGATCAAAGCAGGTCCGGAGCAGCAAAGGCTTTGAAGGCGGCTCCGGCTGGAGCAAAGGCCTGGGTCCCCAGTGCCGAAGGAAAACCGGTGCAGGCAGCCAGGGGAAGGGAAGGCCTATTGCATGAGTCTTTTCTTGCAACAGGCCTCTAGTATAGAAAATAAGAAGAGGAAAAGGGAAGAGTGAGGAATGTATCTGTCTCTTCTGCCAAAATAAGTCCCTCCTGTCTGTGGCCGATGTGTTTTATTCATTGCTGCGTCTTCATCTTTGGACACTATGAAACCGGTAGTCTAACTAATGATGACAAAAGCAAGATCAAAAACACCATTTAATCCCATAATTCTGAATGGTTTCATCTTCCTATTGAAAGACAAAGGCTTCTAAATGGGATTAAAAGCATCAAACACAAAAAACTTGCCTAAAGTAAAATTACATAGCAGGGTTCATTATATGTGTATATCAAGAAAAATGCAAACAAATTTTAAAATGGCAATAAAATATGAGAAAAAAAACAATTTAAGAAATTAGCAAACTGGTCTACAAGAGGATTATTTTATTTTGGTCCTGATACAATCCACAATGAAGTTAAAAATTAAGGTGCAGAGTACTGCCATGAGGAATTAAAGATGAAATATCCCTTTCAATAGTCAGAGGGTAGGAAAAGAGAAATAAGGAAACCCAGATAGAACAGGTGGAGGTTAGGCTAGTCCTTAGGCTTCTCCCGGATTGTACTTTGTCGAATCTGCCATGTATGTGTGCTGTGAGGAAGTTAATGGGAGGTGGATGGAATAATTTTCACTTTTTGCCTTTAGGTATCAACTCATTGGTCACTCATCTGCCAAATGTATCATCTCAAACAATACTGCCATTTGGGATACAGAGCCACCACTCTGTCAACGTGAGTTAACATCTCTTCCCATCTATCCCACCAGTTCACCCTAGCACCCTAGCATCGTGTCCCTAGAATTATGAAGACTCATTCTCATCCATCTTGGCAATGATGTCCTTCCAATATTTGAACCAAGAGTCCTATTCTGAAAAGTGTTCACAATGTTTCAAACTTCTAGTTCCTCCTGGGTTTTCCTTATCTTGGGGTATAATTTAAAACAGCCCCCAACTTCCTCATTTCTTGGTTGAACACTTCCCATTTTGAAGATCGTTGTCTTCAGTGAAGTCAACACAAAGTTAGTGAAAGTGGCCCAGCTTCCTCTCTGCCCACTCTTAGCATCAGGTCATATATTGAGGCAGTGGCTGTCTCCCTTCCTTCTTATTCTTTGAACAGTGACATGCTGTCTTCCTGGGAATTGTCTGGAATGTGAGCTTCCTACACTTTGGGTAGAAAGAGCAATGAGCAATCACAAATTAACCAAGAATATAAAGAGGATACACCCCTGGGTTTGGTGATAATGTGAAGAAATCAATACTCTCACAGCCAAAGGCTGGTAGGATAAGTGGGAACAAACTTTCTAAAAGGCCAATATACAATAGGTGTCAAAACCCTTAACTGTCTACATGCCTTTAATTGAGAAATTTCATATTTTCTGATTTATTCTTTAAAAAATAATTACCATGTTTTTTTCTTGCAAGAATATTGCTATACAAATATTTACCTACATTATTGTTTGTGATAGTGAAAAAGCCAAAACAATATAAATGTTGAGCATGTTTCAAACAATGTTTCAGAAATAATGGTAGTTAAACAGAAGTGAGGTGATCCTTTCGAAATTAGGAAGAAAACACAATTTCTGAATATATTTCGTTTTATTTTGTGCTTTAAAAATTTCTGTTTATCTGTTTTTAAAGCACTTAATACATTAGTATTTTGCATATGCATATTATTTCCAATGCAATAAATGCACATATATTGGGGAAAATAAAGGAACAAAGCATGTGTTCTGCAAGAAAAAGAAAAAATTTAAAATATGCCAGAATGTGTTAGCCAAGAAAGACAGCTCTTCCAAGTGGAATCAGATAGACCATTCTTACACTGAAATATTATTAAGCCAACAAAGGTATTTTAGAAAAAATATGGTATGTATATATATTAAAAATTACACATTAAACAGTTAACTGTGTTTCTTTCTAGATAATAGATTTAAAGGTATTTTTTATATTGCATAAATTTTCTGCAAGAAATATCATCTGAAATATTTTCTTAAAAGTAAAAATAAATAAGTGTTCCTACTATAAGGTAGAAATGATAGAAAGATTTTATATGCTCGGGAATGCTTTAAAATGCCTAGGAGTTATTTGATACTTAGATGTTAGATTATATTAGTCTATAAAATTATCTGTGCTTCCTATCTTTGTAGGAGTAGCATTTTTGATACATTTTTTTTCCATTTCTATATTCTACCATTTCCTGGGTCAATATTGGCAAAAATATCTATATCCCTAATATTCACATTTTTCTAAATTTTTAGTATAGACTAGTCACTAGAACTTATAGTCCGTTATTTTTATTACTTCTGAATCCGTGATGGGCAATATTGTGTCATGGGCAATATTGCATATTTTTGTTACCCGAGCCAGAGCTTTTTGTGTTTGTTTATTTGATAAAGATGCTATACTAGTATGAATGCCACATCATATTACTCAGCAGTAGAATAAAGCCAATTGCCTTCTATAGCAAGATAACTGAATTATGAATGGTGAAGGAACATAAAAGTTCTCATGTAACATGAGAAGCAGGTGGACTATATATAGACATTTATTGAACTAATGTTCATGGAGAAGAGCAGGAGCCATCATATTGTGATTACCAAATCTACAGTTGTGCAAAAAGTCTGTATGTTAGAAAAGATTTGACAAGAGCAGAAGTGTTGTGAACATTCATATTTGGTAATTTGGGTTTTTTAAAATCTGGTTCCTAACATTTATAATTAAACATAACTTTAAGAAATTGAGGTTTTGTTTAACTTGCTATCCCTTCACCAGGTATTCATTGTAAGCCACCACCAACCATCGCCAACGGATATTTCATTAGCAACAGCAAAGACTATTTTCCATACGGAATAGTGGTGACCTACCACTGCAATGACAGAAAAGGAAGGGAAAAGTTTGAACTCGTAGGCGCGATGTCAATATATTGCACCAGCAAAGATCAAGTGGGCCTCTGGAGCGGCCCTGCCCCTCAGTGCATCGTACCTAATAAATGCACGCCTCCGCACGTTGAAAATGGAATAAGGGAGTCTGCGAACAGAAGCTTGTTCTTCTTAAATGACATCGTGAGGTTTAGGTGTCAGCCTGGCTTTGCCATGAAAGGCCCCTCCAGTGTGCGCTGCCAGGCCCAAAACAGATGGGAGCCCGAGTTGCCCAG